AGCTTTTCTCGCAGAAAATGATGTTGAAGTTGTTATTTTCAGTATGTTGATGACACACGAACAAATTGGGCAGAACTGAATGAACCACATGAGCTCTGGAAATTGTGCGATGAAGTAAGCCAAATACATAGAGGGATTCCTGATTCTTTATTGAAAATTGCCTTGTTAAATGTTTTGGAGCGACATCAGCGAACTCTTCCGACTCACTGGATGAGACAACATGTTGACAACCTCATCAGGTCATAAAAGCATTTATACCTTATATATGAGCTTTGAAAGTGTTATACCTTCAGCTTAGCACTAAAAAACGAGACATTTTTGTATATCAGTCTGTTGCAGATTCAGTATTTTTGGATTTTTCTCTTTTTACGGTTCTCTGTGGCATATTGGTTACTTAATGGAAGATCTATCTTTAATTTTGGATTGTGAAACAATATTTAATTAATTATGCATCTTTCGAATACTGTTCACAAAAACATTTGAGCTATTTGTTTAGGATATGGAAAAAAGAAGTGCAAAATACGAAGGGTGTTCAGCGCTCCACCAGTTACACAATGTGTGCTGCACCATACATTCCTTACGATGTTTTTGAACGGAAAAATCCTGAAACAAGCACAACAAGGAAACGCGCTTTAGCAACAATAATGGGCGTTGGGGAAGTATTAGCCAAAGTGCGGACCATGTTAGCAACGGAGGAAGGAGAATTAGATGTTGACGAAGATGAACACGGTTATTCTTTATCCTATAACTTTCTTTCCTTTTGATCTGGTTCAATGTCTTTTCTAAGTTGCTTCTTTTCAGATTCCAATTTATCATTCAAATGGATTTGTTTTATTGTGATTAACATTTTAAAACGAGAAAGGAGTGTTATCCTTCTTTTCAGCTTGTATTTTTGATTATGAATTTCAGGAAATTACACAATTGATGGGCAACCTCTGTCGTTTGAATCGTGGGCCTCTATTAACAAACCGATGAAACCAACTCCATGTTACGAACGGTCCCAATTATTTATCGATCCCAAGATGCGAAAGATGAGGTTATTTTAGTAGAGGATATATTTCGAGTGAAAATTTGGCAGTAAAATATTTTGTGAATATGTTCTATTTTTTGGAAATGAATTTTGTAGAAATTATTAACTCTGTGCATCATGTGTTCACATTTGTTCGGATTTTCTTGTTTCATTTGTCAATCCATAGTTTTAGAAACCAGTGGAAAAAAGAGATGTGGCAAAAGAAATTGGAAGAAGAAAAGGTTAAGAAAACGGAGAAAGTGGACCCAGAAATTGAACATGAAAAGGATAAGGAGTTGTCTTCAGATGGTGAAGTTGTTGGGCCAGAAACAGAAACTCCTGTAATCAGGAGAGAGGTTTGTTTATCTCTTTTCGTTATCGTGGTAGAATGTATTCGTTATCGTTGCCGGTATTTTCTGAGAAAACGGATTAGTTGTTCTTTGTAAATATAAAAACCTACTAACAAAAACTGTTCGTGCCTATATGTTTGTTTAAGTTGGAAGAAGGAGAGATGTCGTCGGAAAGTTCATCATCATCATCAGCTTCAACATCGTCAGAAGAGGATATCGATGATGAAGCAACATTCAGACATCGGCGGCGAAAGCGTCGAAGACATGAGAAGTAAATTTTCGTATTTTTTGGTCACTCGTACTCATTTTGTGTTTTTGTCGTATATGCAATTTTAATATCAACTTTGGATTAAAATATATATTTTGATTCTTGTAAAATCTTATTCCCTTCTGTTTCGCTTGAGAAGTTTCGTGACATAATTGAAGTCCATATTTCGTTATCATTAACTTGTTGTTTCAAGGTTATAGTTCTTATCATTACTGCGGCATATTTTAGTCCTTTGTAATTACCGATTTCTCACTTTTTTACAGGAGCAGGCAGTTAAATTCCGTCCAGGTGGCAATGGGTTCTGTTAACCCGCAGTTTACAACATTGTTTGCACAACTCTATGAATATCGACATGCGCTGTGTCGATTGCTCTTGTCTTCGCACAAGAATGCATTCGCATCTGTGTTAGGACAGGTAAAGATATTACCATTCGTATATTTCTCGAAATTTTTTCTTTAATAAAATTAAACTCTAGAAGAAAATAGTGCTTTGTTTTATAGAATATGCAATTTCAGATACTTTCATCACCTCATGGCATGACATCAGCGCAACAAAACCAGATGAATTTATTTATCCAGAATTTCTCAGCACATAATTTACCGAAATAACTTTGTTTTTACATTTTTGTTTCGGTATTAGGAATTTTCTATTGTACACTATTTTTGGAAACTATCTTACCCTCCAGTTACTAACTATCGGGACAAGTTCTCTTTATAGATGAGATAGATCAACCTGTTATGTTTTATTCGACTACTTATGGAGCTTGTGGCGGAGATAATACACAGAAATTGTGAGTAATAACCTTAGATGTCAAAAAGATGCACTTTGTTTCTTGTTCCTAAATTTAAGGGAGAACAAATGATTACATTTTGCTACCCATCATAAAATAACTGTAGCAGGCTTACCTGACATTCTCACATTTGCTTTAGCGCTTTTGTAAGAATCTATATTGTCTGTATAATCAGTCCGGCTTATCTCTTCCATCAGATGTGCAGTTAATTAGTGGATTGGATAATGTTGTCTTGAGTAATGTATGTTATAGTCGTGGCATAACATACATCTCATGCCGATGGCATCATAAGTTTTTACTCATAACAGTGTGTTGTGTTTATTGGTTTTATTGTTGTTTTAAATTTCATTCTTTTCTGTACTCAAGTTAATGTGTTTTGTACTATATAAATCACCAATTTTTTTTAAATATCTTGACAACTGTTTATGTATGCATGTCGTTATGTACATGTATTCTAAATAAGTCTTAAATTGATGATGAACATTTTTGTAATCGAATCAAATTTGCCATTTTTGTTGTATAAATTTGAACTTTAGCCATGTTCATTATTTATTTGCTCCCAGTGTTTTATTATACACATGAACTTGATTTCGTAAAATTTATCTAGAATTTGCGAAGCCTGTTTCTTTTTAAGTCTTTAGATTCACCCGAGTTTCTTCTAAAATTTTGGATATGGATTTGTTCAATTTTCTATGCTGTTAAATATTTTTCTTTAATTTTTATTTGTGCGATGCAGGATTTTTTTCTAAACATTATTCATTTGATATTTTTTTATACAAAGTGACTGGCAAATGTTGCAACGTTTCGTATTTAAATAAATGTTTATTAAGCACTTATTGCTTATCTAAATGCTTATCGGAATGTTGTTTTTGTCAGGAATGCATGTTGCATTATCATATGGAAACAGTGTGTGGAAAAAAGTATATGTTTATAGGAGATAATTTACGAGCTGATTTTCATGTCAACTTCAGTTAGGTAATACAAGGAGGTAAATGGACGAAGATTTTGTTGAACAAATTGCCTCTTTAAAACTATAAGGTAAATTAAGCTATTCCAAATGTATTGGTGATAAGCAGGAAGCCTTACGTTCAGGCATTTTTAGAGGAAATTCTAGATTTAGTTCATTTCCAGCTGGAGTCTCGCATCTCCATTCCGTGGGGATGGAATGCAGCGATACACCTACTGATAGTCCTTCCTTTTCGGACGATGAACCAGATTACGATTATGGTTGGTTCATTCTGTTCAATTATATTTCTGTTAGCATTCATTCATTGAAAAGACCACATTTAGATGACTTTTACTGTAATGGAGAAAATTGCGCTATGGAGATGTTCGAAAGAGAGGATCCGGAATATATTGAGTACGCATGCCTAAAAGTTCCGGAGGTATGTATTATAAAGCTTCCAATAATCGTTATCCAATACATTTTGAGCGAAATTTAGAATGCTCGGAGTACTCCAATTTTACAAAATCCAGGTCGAACGTCTCTTGCAAGAAACTATGGATCATGTCGTTTCAACCTTGAATGTATCATCTTCACTTGCCAAACTTCTCCTCTATTTTTACAAGTGGGACGATTCCACATTAATCAAATTGTATAGCATTGATCCTTGTAAAGTTCTTGTCGGTAAGTTTAATGTACTTAGTTTTAGCTGTTGCGTGGAATTTTAGTTAATTAATCACATATGATAAATTTTTCTCATTATATGAATTTCTGTTGTTGAATCATTGGGATTCTCAGCGGGTAGATTAAACATAATAGTTAAATGGCTGATATTTTTAGCGTTTACCAGAAGGCACATACGAATGATGCATTGGTGCTATCAATTAAACTTGCATTGCATGCAATGGTTGATTGATTTCGACAGCTGTATAATTTTGTTACTGTGTGCATGTGTTTTATCAATGTGTAATTTTGTTACTAAACAATAAGGCTTATGTGTGTCAGTTTATTACTATGTTAGTAGTTATATGTCGTGTTTAGTTTACCGCTAAAATTTCAGATTGCTTTGTATGCGCTGGTTCTTCAAAGCAACAGTCAGACGTAATAAGCTGTGTGGTTTGTACAAGGTTACAAGGAGAATGTACCAAAATGTATGCACTGGACTGTGGACATAGTTTTTGTTCAGCTTGCTGGCTGAAATATATCGAAACACAGCTTTGTAATGGCTTATCAATCACGTTAGCTTTTATCTTATCACTTAGGTTCTTGATCGATCCATCTTTAATTCACTCTGAAATTTAAACTAATTTTTTCTTGGTGTATCGATGCATATTGGCAACTGTTATTTCCATTCCTAATTAAATTGAACCACATATGATTTAACGAATTATAGGGGAATTGTGTGTTATAAACAATGTTAGCATTTTGTAGAAACATTCATTTTTTCTCGTTACATGCCAATCTTAAAAGGCTGTGTTTATAAAAGATGAATTAAAAGTGGATTTTAAGAAAAGGAGAGTAATCAAAATTGTTTACAGGATCAGCTGCATGGCAAATGGATGTACATTACTGTGTTTAGAAGATTTTGTACTAAGGATATTGAACGAACGCACAGAAATAAGAGATAAGTATAAAAGGTTGGTATTCAAGGACTGTGTTGAATCACATTCACAGTTGCGATTTTGTCCGGGTGTTGATTGTCATATCGTTATCAAGGCACAGTGTCAAAAAGCGAAGAAAGTTACTTGCACCAGTTGCCGAATTTCTTTTTGGTATGTTCCAATTTTGCTTTCAAAAAATCTCATTCATCATTCCTTTGTGACAACGATTGTACAGGATCTATGCATGGCGATCATTTCCTCGTAGGCAGTTTAAAGTGACGTATATTGGTTGGCGAAAACTAGACAGTTAGAATTACCTGAGTAGCGTATGCAAGCGATCAGTATTGTTAACAACTTTTTGCAGTTTTTTTCTCTGTCGATACGGTTTTATCATTGTCGAATTGCATTCTGCATTGAAGGCTGGGACTTTTGATATTATTTCCAATTTATGATGTTAGTTTGTTTTTGCTATCAAAAGTTTCGTAAATGGTTCCTATGCCTAATTTTTGTTTATAGTTTTCAATGCGGTTGTGATTATCATGCGCCGACTTCTTGCGAGACAATACGCAAATGGTTAACAAAATGTGCTGATGACAGTGAAACTGCCAATTATATAAGGTAACATAGATTCTGTTTTATGCAGTCTTCTTACCTAATAATCATGCAGGAAGACGGTTAAAACACTTCCGTAGCTGTTCATGTCACCGGAACACTTTTGCCTGTAGTATCTATATATAAAACGGTACTAACCTTTTATGTTCTGCTTAATTTGGTTTGTTAATTGTTTACTATGTTTGAGTTATTTAGTGCGCATACGAAGGATTGTCCCAATTGTCATTCATGTATCGAAAAAAATGGTGGTTGCAATCATATGCAGTGCGCCAAGTGCAAGCATCACTTTTGTTGGATGTGCTTTGGAGGTCATTAATTTTCTTTTCTTTTTAAATTTCCATTATTGAAGTCTGTTTTACTACTGTTTAATAAGGAATAACATAGTTTGATTAATGTAAAACCAAAGCTTCATTACATATCTCAGTGTAGCATGCATCCCGGATTAAAAAAGAGGTTATAATAATCTTCTTTATTCTTCTCTACAGAACACCAGCTGAGGAAGTTACCCTAAAAAAGTTTGTTCCCTGTAAATTAGCTCAGATCATCGTCTGAAACAGATTTTGAGTTTCAAATAAAATATCACTGTGTATTATGTACATTCTGATTCAGATTTATTTCCATTTCTTAAATTAGGCAGTTGACAAAGCTGATTTCTACGTTCGGTTTTTTATAGACTGGAAGAACCATGGAAGCGAATATTATGAGTGTAGTCGCTATAAGGAGAATCCATCTATAGCCCAAGAAGCAAATCATGTCAAAGCTCGTCGTGCACTTGAAAAATATTTACATTATTATGGTGTGCTTTTGTTTTCAACATCTTATTATGATCTGCAGAATATTTCTACTTACCAAGCAAATATATTAACCATATCATACTAATTTTCAATACCGCTATTCAAATAGTTTACAGAACGTTATGAAAATCACCACAAATCGCTTAAGTTGGAAGAAGATTTGCGGAATTGTATAATGAAAAAAATCGATGAGAAAGTGAACGGGCATGAAGGAACATGGATTGATTGGCAGTATTTGCATAGAGCAGCCACACTGCTTACAAAATGTCGTTACACGTTGCAGTATACTTATCCATATGCATATTATATGGAAAATGGACCAAGAAAACAGTTGGTATGATATTTTGGGATTCCAAAGGATGAATTTGCTGAAATTCTTGACGAAATTATATGAATAGTTGAGACGACGCATATAATAATATCCGTAGTTTTACTGATGTAAATTAAAAGGATGGCCACCGGATCTGTGTTTAAAATGCTCGATTATTCAATTCAGCATGACTTCTCGCTGGAAAGATTTCGTGAGCCATGATATAAGAGAGAGACATTTTGAAACTGGAAATGTTCTTGCTTCTTAATTATTTACTTGTTCAGTTTGAATATCAGCAAGCTCAGTTGGAGAAGGAGATTGAAGAATTATCGTGGAAAGTTGAAAGGGCAGAAAGTACGGAGCGAGGTGATCTGGAAACACAAATGCATGTGGCAGAATGTAAACGACGTACACTTCTCGAAGATTTCTTCGACTAATAATTCCACAGAACAACTAAATCTCCTTAATCTGCTTATATCTCGTAAGAAATTTTCTCACTCTGCTGTTTTTGTCGGGTTGTATGTAGTTTATGATGCTGCTTGACGTTTTTTGTTGCTACTGACAACCATTACTGTTTTTTTGCTCACAAGTTTGTTCCATATTGACCATTTTCAATCACTTCCTTCTAATTAAATTTGTCCATTTTGCAAATTTGTGATTCGGAAAATTTTTCCAAAAAGTTTTTTTAATATTGTCAATTTACTTATCTGTTGTTTGTAAACCAGTCAGCATTTTGCATTTGCATTTACCTAATTCTGAAGAATATGCAAATTAATTTGCTCGGATATTTCTATTGGTTTCTTTTTCTGTCAATTATTTGTTCTTTCAAAAATGTTTATGTCTCGAATTATGCTTTTTAATTCATAATGGTTAGTTGCTTTTGTATTATGATTGCTGATACTATTTTAACACTGAAATATTGAGGTTATGTGCGCCTTTGATCACTTAGCCTGCGCCAAATACTACCATCCCTTATTTATGTTAAGTAGGAATTTCCGGTAGAGAAGCTTGGTTTGATGGAGTGCTTCAGTCCGGATATTTGAAGAAACATCAGCGAAGAAACTTTAGGGATCAGTTCAATATCTCATCCTCCATTCCGTGAGTTTCACAGATCGTTTCCATAACATGCGCAGTTAGCCCTTTAGGTACCAGAATGGTTCACTTCAAAATTGGTTCTCTTTGAAAAAAATGAAATAAACTTCATTTTTTTCCGGACTGCGATGAACAAATTGATAATTATTAAGCAATAATTTTGTGAAACTAATTTCAGAGTTTTTAGATATGCGCCGTTCTATATGTACTACTGCTGTATCCTCAGTCGAATGCTTGCCTTCTTTTAATTTTAGGAAATATTTTGTCTGTTTTGTGTATTTTTCATTGTCTTTAAGACTATTTTTGCTTATTGCCGGCGTTTTATTTGTGTATATATGTTCTAACATTATATTATAAATTATTTTTTCATAACATGCTTCGGTGATTACAAAATCAAAAACTGTCAGTTTTCGTTGTCAGCGATGTATCAGTAGGATATCATTGATATGCCGAAATTCAGGGATTTTATTATATGGAGATCGTAGTGATAGTGTGATTTCGGTGTAGATAATGGACTTTGTATTTTAGTTCTATTGACAGTCACTTTGAAGTATTTCAGAAAATGCATGACATATTTAATGAACAGGTACACATATAAAGGAACAATTGAAATTTGTCTTAATGGTTAAGCTAAATTTCATTTAGTTCCCATCATCTCTGATTTCCGTCATCTTGCTTGAATTTTTGACGCTACATTTTTGATGGTGCTATCATTTTCAATTCAAATCGATAGTACTTTTGCATTTCTCATGGGCTCTAAAAGTCAACAATTAGAGTGAAGAGAGTTCAAGTCCATATTTTCGTCAATGGCATGCGGCTGAATAGATCGATGAAAAAGAGAAAATATGTGACATTTTGCGCAATTAATAGTGAATTATGCGCTTAAGGAGGGAAAAAAATGAGACGGACGATTCAAAATTACCATTTTAAATTCAGTTTTTCGTGCTTTGAATTGCAGCAAGTAAGTATTTGATGTCAGATTGAAAGTGCAACATATCGATTGCTGCCTTGAGCTCTAAAAATACTCAGGTGATAACTGCAAGTGTTTAAAAAGAAGTGTTTAAAAGCAGAAGACTAAATGTAGTTCTTCATTTAGTGCTTAAAAACAGCGATTTGGAACTCTAGAAATTTATTCGTAATTTGATTTTCAAAATTGGATGACACTGAATGAAAGCGCCATTAACCGGGAAAATTGACAAAAAAGAAAGATGCGAAACAAACAAAGCAAATGATGTTACTTCGTGGAGAAGACCATCAATTGAATTTTAATTCAGATAAAAATGAAATCTTACTTCAGTATGTGAAAATATAACGAAAAATGATGAATTTTTCTGCAACTAGAATTGAATTTTTTTCATTCAAAATATATCTGTAGTCGTGAAATTTTTAAAATTCTGGATAATTTGCTAAATAAAACAAATACACAAATATAAAAATGACCCATCGAAATAAGGTAAATCTGTACAGGTAGTATAGTGATTTGCTGATGAAATCAATAGGAAAAGTAAGTATTAATATACCTGTAAAGACGGATAGATTTTAAAATAATAAACTGTGAGATAGACTTTTGTCATCATGCGAGTAAATATTTTTGAATTTTCCCAATGTTGAAATGTAATTTATGAATATGTATATGAATTTTCCCTATGCGATAATTGATTAGAATTTCGATTTTCCATATAATCAACAATTGTCATTTGAATGATAGAATATTGTGAATGCCCAAATATATAAGACTAATATTGTGGTAATAGGCGGATGTGCAGTAGACTGATTTATGCATAGTTTGTAATGAAAGAATAAATCTGATGATGATTGTATGTTTGAGGGTTTAAATTGTTGTGTACACCGCACGTTTACTTCTTCCCATATGTAAATGTCCGGTGGTTAAGAGGATAGGACGGAAAAGATAGAAAAAGGTATTGAATGAAGATCAGGGAAAGAGGAAAAGGTGTATAAAATGAACTTTCAAAATTGGTACAGCCCAAGGACATATCGTATAATGATGATGATGCAAGGCGGAGAATAAAGACGACGAATGACAGCGGAAGGAGAGGAAGCGGAACAATAGGAAAATGGTTGTTACCTATCACGGATAACTCCCTCACAACATTTCTACCTCGTTAATGAGGGATAAGTTTGTGTATATGTGTGTGTGTGTGTGTGTATATATATATATATATATGTGTGTATGTGTATGTGTATGTGTATGTGTGTGTGTGTGTGT